TATTCCAACTAATACAAATAATATTTATAATATACTTATTTTTATTTTCAATAATTGGAATGAAAAAAAATCATAGCATCATCCATTAACTTTATCTTGAAACGGACATAACTTCTCTTTTCTTTACTTATTGAACTTCCTTTTCTTTTTCGGCATAGTGTATTATTTCTTTTCTTGCACACACTGCAATAGAGGACATGGTTGTAACTGATAATATTTTATGAATCAGTATGCTTTGAAAACACTCAAAATCATAATCAACTTCACAAAATTAAGTAAAATATTGAGCAAATCCTATGGACGTCCATAGAATCGGACGACCAGTATGCAAAGACAATCTGAACTTCACTCTCAATTTTCGCTAAACGTAATGTATCGTTTAAAACCGAACTTCATTTGCTGATACTTTTTTAAAAATTTTGAATAGTTTTCCAAATAAATTTTCCTAAGTTTTATATCTTTGTAAAGGGCATATACTTTTAGGTTTTCATCTCTCAAAATTTTATTCTTCAAGCCTACCTATCTTCCCAAAATGTTTCTTTGTTAGCCGCTAGGACACTAAAACATCTTTTTTTAGGGTTCATGGTTTTTCGTTGACCAACTGGCACGAGCTGTTGACGCTGGCATCATTCCACCCGATCGTATACCTTGCGGCATTAAGGATTTGATGGATGATCTCTGTCTCGCGTTACCGCAACGATTACCCATTTACCTGCTTTTGATTAAAGTATGTTGCTCGGAGTTGATCTATAGGACATGTCAGTATAGTTCGCTTTGAATGACAAAGAGGGTCATTTTTCAACGCGTTTTCTCGGTTTACACACTGATAGTTCCGTGCAAGAGGGCAGTTGTATAGATGACCCTTGGTCTGGGGCTAAAGGGTGAGATCAACAAATAAATATGCTCGCTGAAAAATATGAGAAATCTACAGTACTAAAGATGAAGAAGGCAAAAAAGTAGAAGAAAGAAGTTAAAGTATAGCTGCGTAATGCAACAATCTTCTTCCAGGCATCCCGACAGCCTCCACCTTTACCGTTTTTCCTCGCTGTTAGCCAGCTGATTGTTCGAGAAAACATTCAAATCGTAGAACGAGAAGTAGAAGCTATTGGTATCATTTTGAAAACCGCAGGTGAGTGGATCTGTTTAATGCTTATGGAACAGCCGCCATAGCTCATTCAATTTTAGACCCTCTGACCCTTTGCGGATCATGGGCAGATATTGAAGGAGATCTATCCCCTTATCATACAGCTTGGGCTGAATTTTACAAAACAAAACGTCGAAAGACTCCTCAAGATGTGGTGGAATTGGCTTACCATTTGGCACATTCAAGTAAGTAACGTTGCGGGCTTTAGTGTATCCATTTTCAAAGTTAATTTTTCCTTGTAGTAAGCTTATCATATCTTTTAACACTGCTTCGTCATAATCTCCTTCCATTCTTTGCCATCAGTTCACACTATCTGAAATCTCATACTCATCATTTGAAAATGTATGGATATAATCCTAGAAAACATTCACGCTGCACTTTTTTTTTCTCAAAATGTGAGTTTCCGAACGGAACAATATAGAGAGGGTGACTTTCACTGGAATTTTAAAAAATCATGTGCTAAGTTTTATTGAATTTCAGGGAAACCTGAGGTATCGGGGGTTAAAATGGAAGTGTTTCTGTGTTCTATCCTACTAGTTTCGCTTCTGAGAACTAAAAACATTTATTCCCAAAATCTTAGGCATGATTTTGGCAAAGAAGAAAAAACAATTTTGAAAAATACTATCGTTTCGTTTCTCTCCATTTTAAGAATATTTAGATTTTTGATGACGAGAAACTACTACACAGTATCCTTTTTCTTCATAGTAACCATCAGATCTGCTTAATATGTTCTCTTCATTAGTTGCTTTTCCATACTGAGCAAAGTTTTTCGCCCTGTTCCCTTCTTTGTGACGCAACTGCCCATCTCACCGCCTCAAAACCGTTAGCCATGGGTCAGTTTACGTTGCCACATCGCTGTCCTCTTCAATTAGACACCAACGAATAGGCGATAATTAAGTGGTTATCGTGGCGGAATGTGTCACTCGAAGACGCCGCTATCAAACTCAAAATCTCTCGCCTCGTCCGGTCTTTGTCAATCAACTGACCGTGGTTATATGCAGACAGTGATGAGAGTTGGAAGGTTCCGAAATTTTTGTTATGGGGATCATAAGTTGTCTTGAATGTCAAGGACATTCATTTTCCAGAAAGGAAATTATGTAGTGACTGTTTTAAATTCTTTTGGTCGAATATATATGAAATTATATGTATTTTATTCGAGATTTGACTATCCGAGGCTTACCGCTCATTGACTTTTCGCAGTATACCAGGGTGCGAATCCTCCGATTTAATTCCTAATTGGTCATTCTTGCTAAAGAACAGAAGGTATATGAATGCTACGTTAACATACTAAATCTATGCCTCAAATTTCCAAGATTGCACATATTCCGATTCCGGAATGCGATACCGAAAGAGCAAAGTCTTTAAAAAGGATTAAAAGAAATCCAAAATAAAAAGGTCAGATTACCATTTCAAAACTCAAGTTTGCTGATATCTTAGGAACAACATAAGCAGAAAAATTCAGATTCATCTTGAATTAACTTAAAGAAACTGATATTTGTTTAGAGGGGATTGACCTTTTCGTTTACATGCGAGTTCTCACTATCTCAAATTTCCTTTCCACATCTATCTCTCCTTGCACGTCACTAAATCCGTGTA